CAGTTATATCTCCTGTCCATGACATAAAAAATAATGTAACCATCTGAAAGGTACCATCTGATTCCAAATTAATATAAAAGCCATATAGGATGATCGAGAAGATAACCTCTTCAAGTTTAAAGTTCTTGAGTGTGAAATGCAGATGCATGTGCAGACTGGGAATCACTGAAACACGACTAAAAACAAAACAGGTTTTCTTTAATCTTCTTTTATATATCAAAATTCTTTTAATCATGGCTCAATAGACTCTCATGAAACATGTATGATATTTTTTTGGCATCCCTGTAGAATGATGTTTGGTGTGTCATTGTACAGAGTAAGCATGCTAAAACTTGCAAATAAACACAGTTCAAGCAGAAAGACAACATCACAAGTCTTAGTTCTCAAATCTTTACCATACAATATTAACCTTAAAGGTCGTACCCAGTGCACAAGGCTCCCGCTTTACCATACAATATTAACCTTGAGCAACAATAAAAAAAAATGGAGTATTCCATTCATTGGCAGGACGGTTGTACAAACTGTTCACTAACCTGTATTTGAAACATCGCATTTTACAAACACGGCAGACGGGAAACCTAAATTGGAGTGGAACTTGGCATTCTCCTTCTGAACAAGGGAAGCAACTTCCTTCCCCTTTTCTTCAGAGAAATCGACGACTGTCACAAATATTCCCTTCGCTGCCAGAGCTAAGCTCAGAGCTTTTCCTACACAGAAACAGCCCACGGAATCAGTAATAAAAACAGCTAGCATCACGAAAACAATCATATTGCGAAAGAATTTGCAAGTCTACAATGTAAGTAAATTGTGTATGCACTGGGTTAGCGGTTGCGTTAAGAATTGGACTGGAATTGAAGGCCTAGTTTGGTGTTTACGATTGGATTGGAATGGAATGGATAGCCCACTATATCCAAGGTAAGTCAGAACGAAGAGATGAAAAAATTATGTCCAACTCAATGGATTATCCAATCCAATCCAATCCAAACAAGGCCGAAACGGACTTGGACATTTCAAAAATCAAATTCTTTGTTCTCGTAAATTTTCACAATTCCGATTATACATACATACATATATATACATATATATACGTACACACACACACACACACACACAGAATAAAACCAACACTCGTGTTGTTAAGTTTGATGAACGTAAAAGTGAGGTGGTTCACCGATTCCGGAGGCTCCGCCGGTGACTAGAGCTGAGAGGCCTGCTTTTAGCTCCATTTCTCTGTTCGGGTTGACTTCTGAATTTGATCTGGGGATTAGCGATTCAGAGAAAGCAGAGAGAGCGTATGGAGAAACGAGCGAAATAATTCGAGTTCGATGCTTCTTTTACTGCCGTTTCATTGCTTTTCTCGTCGTTTCCTAGTGGCGCGATTTGTTCGTTAACAGACAAAAGGACAAAAGGAAAGGAAGGGAAGGCCGGCCTCGGGAGGAGGGAATTACCCATTTTGCCCAGTTATGTATTTTTTTTAGGGAATTTTAACGAAAAGCACCCGGTACTGTTCACTTTAACGAAAAACCACATTTTTACACTAAAAAGTCAATCTTGGTACTATTCACTTTATCCTTTATTTTGTCCTTATCATTAAAACTCAAAGTTTTCAAGCTCTTTTCATTAGTTTTCCTTTTTTTTTAATTATTGAAAGTTTCAGTGATGTAAGATTTTTGAAACGTGAATAACAATTCGCAATGTCTATCTAATTTTTAGGTTATATTATATTTTCCTGGTGAACTTTTGGAATTTTTCACTTTGGCCCTTCAAACCTTTTTCTGTATCCAACTCAAGTTGGACGTTAAACCTTAAAACGTGTGTGAATAAAGACAATAGTGATGTTTAATAAAAATAGGTAATGCTAAGGAAACCAAATTTTTACACCAAATGATGTTGATGTTGGTTATTGCATGATTGATTTATGTGCTTATTTTCTAGTAATGATACATCATTTGATTTGCAAATTTGGTTTTAAAATGTGGTCTCCTTATGACTACTTATATATATGAATCATGTCTTTTGAGTTTGATTTCTATAACACCGCTACTACACCACTAGTATGAGTTCAAATATTTGATCGATCAAATATGCACATAAAACAATAAGAAATAGCTTAACGAAACTTTGAATGTAAACTTAGATAGGTAATTTACACAAAATGAAAAAGCTTAACAACCAAAATATAAAGGGTTTTTATCACAAATGATCCTTAAAATTGACCCACCTCATTAAGATGATTCTTGAAATTGAAAATCAATCAATGTAATCCATGAAAATAGGTGTTGCAAATCAATATAGTCATTCCGTTATTCTGTCAAAAATTCTATTATGTGCTGATGTGGCACATAAGTGGATCACACAAGTCTAATTAAATATTATCATGTAGATTTAAAATATTTAAATAATAAAAAATAAATTTTTTTATACAAATAAACTTAAAAACTTTGTTTTTCACTTTTTTTTTCAATTCTTCTCCAAAACCAGGATTTGACCTCTAATTTTCGGGCTGCCGTCTTTCCCGAACCACCACCCCCGTCTTCTTCCCCATTACCTGTATTGAAAAGACTTTCAATCTTGATTTTGTTGCTTTAGCGAACCCCATCAACAAAAGTTTCCCAAAATCTCTATCTCACCAAGGTTTTCAAACCCAATAGCAAATAAGCATAGATCTTTTTGTCCTGCAGACTGAGATTTTGTTTTCTGGGTTCAATCTGCCAACAAGATTTCTTACTCTTTCCCCAGAAAAAGAACCATATATACTAAGAACCCAACTGCAATTCAGAGTTAATAAATCTGGGTTCAATCTGTTTAAATGTAAATGTTGATAAATCTGTTAAGAGTTGTTTCATGGTTACAATAGGACTCTTGTAAACTTTGTATTATTTATACGGTGAAAGGAATGAAGGAAATCTTTACTTTCACAATACTATTTCTTTGCATCACTTACTTTTCTACAGGTTTCCCTTTATGTTTTTTGGGTTTTGTTTTTTGGATGAGAACCTAACAAAAAGCTAGGAAGAAAAGAATGGGGAACCGGGTCGATCTGAGCTAAATGCGACGGCTGCAAGGCGGTGGGTTGCTTCCACGAAGCCCAGTCCTCATCCACCAGCCTGTTCATTTCCGCCCAATCCGCAAACCACCAGCCTGCACACACCTAACCTGCAATCCAGACCGACCAGCGTTCTCATTAAACCACCACTCTCAAATCCCATCCCACCGCTGCCCTGTACCATCTCGCACCAGACCACCATGATTCCCGGACCTCCACGCCTGACCAACCGTTCATGCACCTAAACCCAGATTTGTTTCCGCCTGCCACTGTTACTGACCATCGTGTTTGAGGCGGACTTGGATTGTCTGCCCTCTAATTTGTATCCTCCCGTGCCCGTTTTGGTGGTCACGGTTAAGCCACGTCAATATTTTATATTACTATTTCTTTTTGTTTTATTATTTTTATAAAAAAATAATATAAAATATTAACGTGGCTTAACCGTGACCACACAAAACAGGAGGGCACGGGAAGGGCATCAAAATGGGAGGGCAGACAATCCAAGTCCGTTTGAGACAGACTCAGAATTTAAAATAATTTTTTAATTATATTTGATTTTTTATTTATTTTAATTATAAATAACAAAAAAAAAATGTAATTATATAAAAATAAATATTTAATTTAACTTGTGGGACCATATATGTGTCACATCAACATATAACAAAAAATTTTAAGAAATTGTAACAAAATGATTATATTGATTGATTTTCAATTTCAATGACCATCTTGATGAAGTGGATCAATTTTAAGCACCATTTGTGATAAAAACCTAAATATAAAATCATGATTGGATTAGTAATTTGGAATTTCAATCCTATGATAAAGGTAATGTTATTGACAAAAAAAAGAAGTATGCTATGTTCGTCTCTTGCACTCAAATTCGATCCCTATAAAAAGTCATTAGGGACGAAATTCGGCCAATCAATACATACATGATTGATGATGGTAAAAGAGGTAAACAAGTTTATGGAAGCTTTGGTTGTTTTCATAAAAGTGCGTTTTTTGTGCAAGTTTGACATACTCAAGGAAGGGATTCTTTTCGGATCCCTTCCACCTAATCCACAAAGTTTGGGGATCTAGACCATTGAAATTTGATTCAATGGTTAAAGTTATTATAACTTTTAAAGTGGGTCACTGTTTGCAGCCGTTGTATCAAATTTTAATGACCTGGATCCCTGAACTTGGTGGATTAAGAGAAGGGATCATAAGAGGATCCCTTCCCATACTCGAGCACTCATTCCAAATCACCAGTCAACCCCAACACTACATTGACGTGTTGAGTTAATCTTGTCCCAATTTGGTTTTGAGAATTATTATTAGCACTCCAAAAATCTCATTTGACACTTCAAATTTTCTATAATTAGAAAGAAAAATACACGTGCGAGGAGTGTAGAATAAGATTTTTGGAGTGGTATTTGGTTTTTTATATTCTTTTATTTGGCTCCAATCTTCTTTTATTTAGGCTTTCACAATTCACACGCGGTTACTTTCAGTTATCAAATTGAATAAATAAAATAAAAATAATATATTTGATTAAACATGAACGTGTAAAATAAAGAAAAGAGCATGTTTATTGTCTTTCTTTTTTTATTCATGTACGAAGCATTTATCTTTTTGCAGTTGTTCTTTATACTATTAAAATACAGCCCATATTTGGTTTTCGTAAATTGGTTTCTTCCAATTTGGAGAAGGTAGTTTTGATTGATTGCAAAACTACATTTTGGGTTGAAACTGTAATTAGGTGTGATCACTGTATAATTTATTCATATTGTAATATCTTAGAGCATTTTAATGATCAATCACTTAATTGCAAGATTAATAAAAGGTCTGCAAATAATGCAGATCTTAATTATCACCAAAAGCGAGCTTGAACCACATTATTACTAGCTTATTGCGAGGCCAAGCCCATCCCCTCACCATTAGTTTAGATAATATCGTTTGTTAAAATAAAAAATGTTAGTCAAACATCACATTGAATGTAGTATGCATAAACAAAACTCCAGCTTATCCTGAACAGTGTTTCCTTTCCAAGTAGCAAAATCCATAGGCAAATCTGCATACGGTGAAAAGCAAATAAATACATAGGGAAATTTATCTTTTAATCTATAGCACTATCAAACACAGAGAACTTTACATAGGCCAAACCAAAAGGGCTTCATCACGAAGACAAATTACTTGTTTCCAATATGCCATTAACTGGCTAGCTTAAACGCATCGATGAACAGACCATAAGTGAATCCCATTTTGAAATTGTTGAGAAGAGCGATGGGGAATGTTACTTTTGGTCGGCTGTAATAAAATTTTGTCACATACTCTGTCAAGAGAACACACACGACTGCAGCAATAACATCGTTGACTCCTAAAGCTCCAAATGACAAAGATATCGTTTGTGCCACATAAAAGCCACCCAACAAAGAGATTCCACCAAAGAGAGCCCTGCGTGATGGACTTCTAAAATAGTTCCTCGAGAGTTCTGGCACAGTTCTGATGATATCAACTAGTCTTCGAGACCCTCCACCCTCTTGAACAGCTCGGACACGAAAAAACCCAGGTGAGGATCTCAAAGTAGAGACTCTGTATTTCCCGGTAGAAACTCTGGTTTGAGGGCTCAATCCAAATTTGTAAAGGCCTGTAGAGGCCAAACTCAAAGACTGTGACATTTGCCTATTCAAAATCAACTATCAAAACCAACCAGAATACTCGCCCGTCCTGGAAAAATGAAATGGAAGCAACAATTAACAAGGAAAGCAGGCAGAAACATAAGCAAGTCATGAAAGAAGAAACGAAAAACAAATTCAGAGCAGAGCACAAAAAGAGAATATCTGTTAGTTGTTAGCGACAGTACAAGGACTCCAGTGTGACTATCCCACCTCATTTGTTTTTTCAACATTTTTCACAAACAAAAAATTCCTTACGACCAATTAGTAAGTATTATAATGTTTGTATGACATTAGCTTCTCTTACTCACTCAAAATTATTGAATGTTGTCATGTACATTATACTGATGTTATGGGAACATGATTGCAGAGAGTCCAACTCCAACTCCAACTCCACTTGTTCGTATATGCCATGGCCTCATGCATTCTTCGAACCACCCTATAAATGACATGACAACTTTTCTACAAAACATCAGGACAATCGGTAAGGTCTGTAGGTTCACCGTAAGAACATGGTTCTCAACAATGTCTCCACCTGGTGGATTGTTCGTAGCTTCATATACTCTAATAAACCAAAGAAAATGTGTTCTCAAACTCAAATTACCTAATTCCATCTACAACTGCAAGAGAACGAAAGTGGGGTAAAGAACCCTGATACATTGACAGGACCTCATGTTCATATCCCCAACTAACATATGAAATAGAGAAGTTGGCCTCCCACTATCATTCTGAAAACTAATGTTTCCGACAACATACAAACCCTTTCATCTCAGAAGCAAGAGATGATAAATAAACAGGTTATTGCTATATGCATAACCGTTATACGGTATACTGCAGCGTTATCTGTGTAACCGAACTCAACCCATCAACCTCCTTGTACACTTGGAAAACCTGAAAAACATAAATAGACGCTAGAACAACATTGTGACAGAGTGAATGCAGAAATGGATAATTGTTTGAGATGTTTTATTTTAAATAAATGAAAAACCAATTAAAACTCAACAATAAACAAAGCTGTTAAAACATTAGGAATAATGGAATTAAAACATGCATTAATCGATTAGTTCCCTGCTTTATTTAAATAGGAAATCCATATACAATTAGGAAGGAATGAAAGCAGGGAATACATACCCAAACCAACAGTCGCCTTCGAACTCCTGTTAAATCTCAGATTTATCAGCGGAGTAAACCAAACGCAAAATCCGCTCTTAGCCGACAAAGCCTCGACAAACTGCCACAACTCAGCATACAATCAAACTGTTAGGGTTTCGTTCAAATCAATGCAAATTCGAAATAACAACTCTCATATAAGGGTTGCTGAACTTACCTGAGTTAAATAAATAAAAATTACGATGATCTGAACAAAGATCGCACCCAGACCGCACCAAAAATTGGTCGGAAAGCCGATGACAATTGGGGAGAAACGATTTACAGAGATGCAAAACTTGTCTCAAAACAGAGAACCCAAACAAACTCCCCAAAAAAAAAAAAATAACACGACAATCTTTGCGATGAATATTTTGCAAGACGCAAAACACAGGATTTCAGACGAAATGAAGGCGACACCAAGATCGATAGAAGCAGAGATTGCCGACACACAAAAGGCAAAGCAAATGGTAAACCAACGAAAACCTATTCGACGCATAAACTGAACGATGACAGACGCGTGGCCATGAGGGCCAAAACGGACTTTTCACTGCACAAAATAGCAAAAGACAACCGCAAGCAAAGAAGAATCCGAGGGCAGTTTCGCCCTTTCACTGCTGTGAACAGTGCCGGGGAAACTGGATTTTAGTATATATGATATATATATATGTATATATATATATTGGTAGGTATGACATACCGCCGGCATACAAAATCAATTACCAAAGTCATGTCATTAATTGTTAGTTCAGTAAAATGTCAACCGATTATGAAAAATGCCCAAACTATATCATACCATTATGAGCCGACCGGTATGATTCGGTCGGTAAATCGGTTTATGGCAAAATTTCCCACCCCTATGTAAAAGCGAGCGTCGCTTAGCACCCAAAAAAGAAAAAAGAAAATGAAAGAGAATAAAGGAAGTTTTAACGAAAAGGGTCTAACACTATTCATTCTTAATCAAAATAACATTTTGTATATGAAAAGTCTATAATGAATCAAACTCTTTTCTTTATTTACTCTTATGCCATTATTTCATTATTGTAGCGGGTCTACAATACACTATTTTGCATGATGTTATTCAACTTATGCTAATTTGCTGTCAGCTCTTCATGTTTCCATCATGTTGTCGATGTTATGCAGCCCTTCTTCTGTCAAATTGTACAAGTATTGTTCATCGCCTTCTACTAGTTATGCATCTCTTTCTCTATCTTCTTTACTTTGTGGTACATTTCTGTCGTTTCTTCTTTGAAATTTTGAGACTTCCAATAGGGCTGATGAATGATCCTTATCTTACTGTAAATATACATTTTGTTCTTCTTCTGCTACTAATATCATATCATACCTAAAATTTTCAAACTCATCTAAAGCTAACATTTGGATTCATCAGAATTTTAGAATATTTTTGTATGAATGAGTCCACCTATGTGAGGAGTAGGGGATAGTCTAAAGGACTCTTCATTAATCATGGCTATATGCCTAGCTTTCTCCTTATGCATATGTACATACCAATCTGGAGGACTACTAATAAAACTTATACAAATTTCTTTCCACATTTCCAAATAATCTTCTGTTACTTTTATAAGTTTTTCTGGAAATGATTCTAGTTGGAAAATATGGTTAATATACTCTTTTGGCCTTGAAATTCAAACATCTTTAAGTTCTTATAGTACCTGCAAAATTGACCCTTGCAAAGATTTAAAAAAGCCAAATAATGGATTTAAAACTTCAAACATTAGCAACGATCATTGTTTAGAAAAATGCTCACATAATATGTGTTCCGCTAGTCTTCCATGGTGTTTTCTTTTCCATTTGTTCGATTACTCTTCTTATGATTTTGTGATTCTATTATGAGCTTTCGTTCTCTTTCTCCCTCTCGTCTCTTTCTCTCTTAAATAACCACATTAGAACCAATAGCATCAACTAAACCACGTGTAGGTGCATCCTCACCAATCCAAACACTCCCTTTGCAACCTCCTCCATTTTATCTACCTGACAACACAGGAAAAGAGGGACACTTGAATGTTTCAAATTAACAGAACGAAAAGTATGTGAAACCAAAACAAAGAAAGAATTGACGCGCATATATACGTTCATCGATCTGGAAAAAGTTGCCTTGCCAAAACTGGAAGAATTTCATAGCAGTTCTTTCTATCTGAAAGAATTTCAAACGCCCAAAATTAGATTTTACATTTTACTATAAAATAAAAACCTAAAAATTATCAAATTATAGAAAACTAAACCAAATTTAAAGAAAATGCGTGGGAGAGAGACTTACCGATTTGTGTACATTCTTAGCATGCAAATGGGTGAGAACTGAAACCTGTAGAGAAATAGTAGGGAAAGAAGAAGAGATAATATGGAGTGGTAAGCTGCAATCAGAAAACAAAAAGAATAGAGTTGTACTGGAATTGTGGGAGGTTACAGAGTCTCTGGAATGATCGATTGTACAGAGAGGTTTGTGTGAGGAAGAAGTTTGATCAGAAAATTGGGGAATAGAAGATAGACGTGGTGGGTTGGTCTCTGTTGGCAATTATCTCATTTTTCTTGTAATCTTTTAATTTTGAACCGGAACAGATGATGAAAGGTTGTGAGAGTTTAAAAACTGAATGGGAACTGCTATGCAGTTTAAAATTAAACATGCAGAACATGGTGATTCTTCCTCCCACGTTATTATTTTTTTCTTTTTCTTTTTTTGTTTAATTTTTTTTTATCTTTTTTCCTTTGATTATCTTATATGTTTTTGTACCAAAATGTCCTTGCAGATTATATCCCTTTTGATATTGTTAGTTGTAACTTTTTTTGTTTGTGGGTCTTTTTAGTTCAAATTTTTTTGGTGAAGCATTGAGACACCAAACTCTCATTCTGACTTTCTAATATTAAAGATGTTAGTTGTAACTTTTTTTGTTTGGGGGGCTTTTTAGTCCAAAATTTTTTGGTGAAGCCTTGAGACACCAAACTCTCATTCTGACTTTCTAATATTAAAGATTAAAGATAATATCATTTTGTTAAAAAAAAACATAGTTTAGTGTTATAAAATAAGTGAGCTAGAATTTTCTTAGTTCAAATGCTCTCATAGGCGCATAAAATAATTTGAATAAATTCTTAATTTATTTGATACACATATACAAGTAAAATCCATTTCATTTTTTATATATTCAACCATGACATTTTTCAAACCCTTCTCTATACTCACAAGCATACACATACACTCCAATCCATCCCTTTAAAGGTTTTCAAAACTCTTCCCATGCCATCAAGGTAGATTACTTAGTTTCTTTATTGAATTACGAATCTATCTTTTTCTTAATTAAATCAATAATGTAGGTATCCACGGTGTTGAATTATGAATCAAAAGTTTTAAAATCCTTATCTTGATATTCCATTATTTCTCAAATCCTTCTCCAAATACACAACTATATATCCAACTCCATCCCCAAAAATTAAAAAGCCTACATGGCGTACATGGCAAGTAATTAAGTTAAATAAGTCCTTCTTGTGAATATGGGTTTACCAACTCGCAACCAAGCTCGGTTAGGCTAGTAGAATTGAGGTGGTAATGGTGTCGAATATGCTCTAGGGAAGGAACACATCTCATCCTTTGGTTCTAGAACTTGAAGATGAGGTTACTTGATCACTACGAAGTTCAATAATTGGTTCGTTTTTCGTTGTGCTGAACGACTAGTAACTGGGGACCTTACTTTGCAGAAGCTGATGAGATGACCTCTTGAGACTACAGTGACACACTCCGACCCAGAATGTCCACTAGGACTCCGAATCGAGCTATGCTGGTCGACACCTGGAAGGTGACGAAGCCATAAAGTGTGATGATGTGGAAATATTGTGAATAAATTTAAACCTAAGAGTGCATTGGTGAGTGGGAATGAACCCACTTCACATGTGAGGTTAGAGCATAAGCAAGTACAGAAGAGTGAATTAAGAATTGTACCCTCGAATAATCTCCAATACTAAGAATCGCCACGATTCCTCGATGATAAGAAAGCTCAGCTAAGAAGACCTGGAGGGTGAAGACAAGACAAAGGTGAGTGGCTCAATAAATAAAATTTTAATAGAAATCATATAAATTTCTATAACCCCTCGCTACAACACCTGTATAATTTCTAGACTTAGAATATAAAAATATACATCTACATATATATATATATATATATATATATATATATATATATATATATATATATATATCAATTCAAGTCATGCTTCACATATTTATAATCATATGCTAACTTGTCGCATATTCATCATGTCTGCTAGCTCATCACGTATTCACCACATATGCTAGCTCATCACATATATTCATTATATATATGCTAGCATTTCATCACATATCCCATTATAAATATATGCTAGCAATTCATCTCATATCCCATCATAAATATATACTAGCATTTCATCACATATCTCATCATAAATATATATGCTAGCATCTCATCATATATCATCACATATATGCTAGCATCTAAGTCGGAGTCACTTCTAGTGACCTATACGACATATTGATATCTCATCACATATCTCATCAATCATGGCTAGCATATAAGTCGGAGTCACCTCTAGTGACCTATACGACATATTCATATCTCATCACATAGCTCATAAGTTCAACTAATGTCGTATACTTACTTGAACTTACCTAAACTTACCTGAAACAATGTCATGCTCAAAATCAGGAGCGTAATCACAGTTACACACAACCCTAACAAGGGTAAGTGTCTATCAATTATGCACTGTGTATAAAATCTCATTATATTAACTTCAATGGTGTCGTAACTAAGCCAAAATTGTAACCATAATTACAAACAACTAAAATAGAGATAATGGTATGTGATAACCATACTACTTGTGGAACGAATAACATACAACACGTCCCTTAGGTTCTAAATAGCTCATTTTAGACTAATCCCCAGTCTCAGGGTGGTAATGTGACACTAGACAAAATCTAGTACTCATAACCCTTGGAAAGATTTTTCCAAAACTTGGGAGTGAAACATTCAACACGATGAAATATAAATACATCCAAATAGTAATCCAATCTGATTTCTGTTTACCTGAACTAGTATAGAAATCCAAAAGTAACTCTCTCATAATGCCATCATCATTTGAAAGCAAACAAGGAAGAAAATGTGGTTGTCCATACAATTTGGACTTCATTTCCTCAAACACCATTTCTACTTTAACCAAAGGCGAGGCACGCCTAGACTGAGAATTCTCTTCAAACACATCACGTGAAGTCTCAAATTATTTCCACTTAGGTAAAGCTACCACCAATTGAGCAACACGTAAGTCTAGCATTGGTTCAACATCATGATTATTGATTTTCACATTCTCAACACGTACAAAATATTTCGTACTGAAAGTCATATAATAGTACTTCCCAACTCCATTCATATAACAAAATGATTATAAACATTCAACCCATTTCTCGATAGGTTGAAGGTAATTCCATATCAAC